TAATTTTACTTGCTGCTCACTTTTTTGAAACTGCTTCAGTGTTGATTTTTGCAGTCTCTTCCCGAGAGGATTACATCTGCCTGGTCTAAAGTTTCACTTCCAAACATCATGTCCAAAACCTAAAAGCCTGCTACAGAAAAACTGTATAAATTTGGGAAAAGATCCTTCATTCTTTGGGGAAAATTAGCCTTGATCCTAAGAGGAACCTTATTTAAGCAAGCTCTGTCTGCGGCACAAACCGTGCTTCTATTGCCAATGCAAACAGGTCGTGACCTGCCATGATGGAAGCCCACAAGGAACTTTTCCCAAGTGAGCAGTCCCTCTAAATGTGTCTTTCTCTGCTGGTAGCCTCGAAGTAGAAGCGTACATGCTGCCCAAATGGTACGAGGAACTCTAACATCAACAAGGTCGCATTGAAAGCCGTTAAAATACACAGGGATGAGGAGAAAAGCATTTTTGCACTACAATTTCAATTTATTTTTTTTTTTAAACACAACCTTACACCTCTCATTATTTAGGCAATGTAAAAGTGCAGCACATTTTGTCACCTTCTCCAGAGCAGGGAGCTACTGGACCTCTGCTGGCTGATTCAAGCTGAAAAGGTGGTTCTTCCTCCCTCCAGTCATGCCTTCGACCTTGGATAACAGACCTCCCATCTGGAAGTGTTTTCCCAAAGTTATTCACTCCATGCTGTTTCACACACACACACACAAAAAGGCCCAGTGACTGCAGTCACCACATCACCAAGAGTAACAGATCTTTCCATACACTTGCAGGTCACTCAGCACGGATCACATCCAACCTCGTCCATTCTTTGTCAAGCCTCCGCAAAGGAGTTGAGCGGACTCTGGATATTTAACAGGATAGGTCTGAGGCAAAGGTTTACATGCTGACCTTTAGGTGTGCAATGAAGCCCATGATGTGCAAAACCTTCAGAGCCAGGATCAATCCAACAAACTGATCCCTCGCAAATCTGCACCCTCACCTCCACACCTATACCCACAGTGAAAATGCCACAGTATCACACCAGCAGGGATCTTCCGCAAGACTCCAGCTGTGCAGAGGCCCAGAGGAGAAAAGTAAAACAGAGGACAGGACAGTCTTTAGTAGGAGCAAAAACCTGCGGGGAGACTCGTGCCAAGGTGCAGCCCTACTGACGGCTGGTGGAGCTCAGGTGCTGTGCTGGGTCTCTGAGCACTGGCTCCTGAGCACCGACTCTGGAGGCTCTGGCTGTGCAGTCTTATTTAGCCTTTTTCACCACGAATGCTCACCTCTGGGATCCCAAGTGCAGGTGAATGGCATGTTCTTTGCAACTTGCCAGTGGAAGCCCTACTATTGCATGTGGGTTAAACGGGCCTGTATGCTGCTCTCCAGCCTTTCTTCCTTCCCTGATAAGCACTGAAAGGATTGTACTGCTTGCTATAGGGGACTTCCTCCACAGAGAGCAAAATAAATTCACCTGTGAAGTGCACTGATAAAGGCTTTCCATTTCACATTCAGCAGCTGAAAAGCAACTTTACCAGAGGTGAGTCTGGGGGGTTGGTTTTCTTTAGTTTTGTTTTGGGTTTTGTTTTTTGGGTTTTATTTTTGGTTTGCTGTTTATTTTTAAGAGGCAGGTAGATAAATGAGCCATTTATTTCTGAAAGCTAGTCTCTGGCTGAATCTAACTTCCAATTGGGGCCTATCAAGAGGATCTCTAAGCTTCCAGAGTCATTCCAGAGAAGACTTATGACTATTTCAAGTACTTTATTCTCCACATAGACTCAAGTATCTGTAGTTAAGCAACAGTTAGTCCTAAAATTCTATTCATGTACTGAACAATGGAAGTACTAAGCAATATTTTGAAGCATATTAAGTAGTATTAATTTTCTAGACAAAACCACACCAGAACTGTTCTAATGCTCCTCCACTCTGACACCAACTTAAGGGAGGGTGGGAGTAGTCCTTTCCTGCATACAGGGGTACGTGCACATCACATAGCACCATTTCACTGGAATCTGCATGGTTTAGGTTTTAATGGAGTGTTGGTTTTAGAGTTGAATATACAGAAGCTCTTGAGTTACAAAAAGAATTATTATTGCAAACCTGACTGCAGCTACAGTTGGTGTTCTTGGAAGATGAGAGTGCAAGTAACAAGAAGCTAAGAAATTCATGCCAGTAAGTCAAGTTTAATTTGCTTTCCTTTTCCCCTCCCTTCTAAGGCTGGCTGAAATACAAGTTCCACTGTAAATGCAGTGACTAGCAAACATGGATGCCATTAAAAATACAGCACTGCCAAGAGGAAGTCCTCCGTTGACTAATAACAGAGTTTCCAATAGCAACTGCAAGATATTCTGGGCACTGATCTGAAGAGATTTAGGGATATATTCTAAACAAGATGTCCTTTTTGCAGCTACATAATATGAATTGTATAACATTTGGACAAAATGTTTTTAAGTCACCAGTAACTTGCATCACAAGGGCAGAATCTGAGGTTTTGGTGGCTCTTCAATGACCTTTACTTCACTGGGTAACACTAAGCTCTTGCTGTCAAGCCCATTATCAAAGTACGGTCAAAAAAATAAAGACACAAGTCCTCGCTAGACAGTCTGGCATTGCAAAGGTCCCAGGTTTTTGCTGTCAACTGAAACAATATGAAAACATAGCCTTTTATTTTGGAATGAGGAGACTGCATGCTCGATAATAAATTTTTTGTGTAGCATTTGTCACTGTCAGAGCACAATACAAAAATATAATCAAGTTCATTTGTTAATTAAGTAACCCATTCTTTGAAAACCTATTTTTTAATGCAACACAGTGTCAGTGACATTACAAAATGGTTTACTAGAACTGGAAAATTACTTTTATAAAAATCATATTATATCACAACTTCCCTTCTCACCAAGCTCCTTGCTTGCTGAGACTGCATGGCATTTCATACAGTTATTTCCTATGCAAACAGAAGCTAATTATTTTTTTTAAATTTGAATATGGAAAAGACCCTCAACTTCCACTGCTTCAATTATATAATTGTATCAGAGACTGCCCACGCATTTTCATAGGAGTAATTTATTTTACCTTTGAAGTAAACTTGAATTTGTTAGAAATATTAGCAAGATCAACTTGTAAGCTCTACTATCTGGAAATTATGCCAAAATACACTCACAAATCAGAGTGCTAAATAGTAATTTCAAAAGATGATAAGCAGTAGTGAAAAGGTTCTAAGCAGCCAAACAACATGAAATTTTTCATCAAATCACTGAAAATAAGAAACAGAACAAATTTTCTTACAGAGAAACTGATATACTACATAACCAAGTCTGACATTGTTATATTAAAAGTTGCCTCTGAATAAAACATGTACAACACATTCCAGCAGAACAGATGCCAGCTGCACAAAAATACTGCACTGCTGTTTTTTAATACCTTGGAGGTAAAATGTTATGCACTGCTTCAGTCTTCAGTACAGCTTCACACCATTTTTAATTTTATAATGCAACCAAGTTACATGTGATGTAGGTAAAAGAGAAAAAAAACACCTATGAGGGCCTAAAACTCTAGATGGCACACTCCTACAGTCAAAGACTACAAGTCTGAACAGAAATACACAGGCTTACATATACTTCCTTGGTTTTCCACCCAAAATATATATAATCTAGCCACAAATACTGTTCTCAGATCTGTTTGTGAATTATTATTATAAAAGGATCTGCACTGTTCCCCCAGGTTAGAATTGGATGATTTAATATAATACTATGCAGTATTTGCAGTTTTGTATTTCAACAGTAGTGAATTAGGTTAATTTAAGATTCCACATACAATTAATTCCCATGGCATAGCACCCATCCTGTCACACTATCATACTCCAACCTACTTTATGGACAACAGGAGTGAGATCTTAGGTGTTTCTTAAAGGCTCAGTCTCAGGCAACAACCAGGTCAGTTACACACATTTCCAAGCTTTGAACTAACAAAGAAAGTTTTTGTTGCTGCTTTAAGAAGGAGCTTAGCTTTGCTTCACTACATCGAGTCCAGGATCAAAAAAAGGACATCTTGGTATAGCCTTTAACCTACCCATCTATATAGAGTAGGCAGTATAAAATCTAAAAGTCAAATCATGATGGTGACAGTCATGAAAACTACATTGCAATATTTTTATTAGAATTTGCTGAGGGTATGTTGCTGCTGTTATGCAATCTTACTGAAGCTGTAATAAATGAGATGATAGCTGTGCAACTGAATTGCCACATTACACACCTGAACAACATCCAGAATGATCAGAACTGCAAAATGCATGAATTAGGGTGTTTGACTAATTATCTGAGTAAACAAACCAGTGCCTAAAGACAAACACAGTATGGATTTACAGTGTGCTAGATGCTACATGCTGACGGTGTGACAAACGCTATCCTCCAGTCAGTACGAGGCAGCTGAACAAGCTGTCTCATCTCATCCTTGCAGTGCAGTTCCCCCTGGTTACTGTGGAGATAATGCACCAGCTACCCCACAGTGAAGGGGTGCCCAGACCACAGGCACAGAATGAGTACAGACAAGCACATGCAGACTTGCATTCAGGTGGTTTTGAAATTCATGATGTGGAACATATGTGCAACAAAGGACACGGAGAAGGAATAAAAAAAGTGCATATGCATATACTGAGTGGAGAATTACATGGACATGGAAGCATTTGCCCATAAAACCACAGAGAAAAATGTCTTTGGCCATAAGCCAGTACAAGAGCATCTCTGGAGCCAAGTACACAAGCAAGTTTTCTCCTTTTCTACAGTACTGGATATCAACTCATTAAGAAAACCATTAACATCAACTTTTTTTTTCTCTACTGTACTGTACTCATAATCACTCCTTGCTGTATGGTAAACATTTTCCAGAAAATGCATATCAGTAGCATGCTTTTACTCTTAAATATGCAAATAAGATGAAAGTGTTTAACATATGTTATTAATCTACATATATAAATTCATAATTTCCATTTGCAAGACCAACAAATCACTATTTTTTTAAATCATTTAACAAGTTTATTTCTACAAATTATGGCTTAGAAGCAGGTACTGTAGGTACAAAAAATCTGAAGGAAATGATGTGCAGCATGTAATTTCTTTATGTTTTCTACGTGGATAAAGTTATTCATTTCAGTGGGTATTCATCATATTTCTTATAGCAGCAATAAATAGGCATTTTACTTTTCATAAAATGTTATCTTATATAGGACGTTAATCAATACAAAATTAACTTTTAACAGCACTACAGTAACATAACCCACAGGTTGAGCATGGTATTGAAAAATTTCATATTGGATCTCTGTGCCAAACTAAGACTGAGTGATTTGCAGGGTCTCCAACATGTCTTCCACTGCCTTCAAAGAGTATTTAGTTTCTTTCTTACTGCGACCTGCAAACTAAACAAGAAAGAAAGGATTGCTATAAGTCATACATCAGAAATTCTGTGCACAGATCCTGTGAAAATAACAGTTCCAAACATGAAATATAACAAATTAACTCTATTCATTACAAACTTTAGAGGACAGCACTAAAACTCAGAATTTTTACCACAATACAAGCTACATCACCATCCTTCTGTGAAGCAATGAAAAATTACTTAATAGTAGAACTCAATTTCACTAATTTGCTCTGAATTTGAATATTCTGCGCTAATACTCCACTTTGAAATTTAACATTTATCTGAATAGAGATCTTCATGTTGTTTTGTTTGCTCTCTAAACTTTAACATACATTTTATTTCAGACTTATTTTTATGCAATCCAAATTAGATTATATTACTAATTTAAATAATAGCAAGACTTAGACTTGTTATTAAAGCCAGTCTTTTTTCTATTTTTGTTATAGCTAGTCAGAGAAAACTTCTACTTATCGAAATCTACTATAAAATAGTCCAGACAACATATAATTATATTTTGTGGTTCAAAGTAACTGTAAGTGATGACCTTGTAGTTGATTGTAGCCTGCTATTACAACAGCAATTTCAGAGAACATTAAAAATAAAGTCTGTTCTGATAAGAAAGAAAGACACAGCATAATAAGTATTGCTAATGGCTTTAGATTTCCTAAGACACATGCAGCCAAATGGGAAAGGAAGTGGTACAAGGACTGGAGATGCTGACCACCCCATGCTGACCTCAAAAGAGTTTCTCTAACAGTATTGACAATTCCCATCACTCATCAGCCATATCTAACACAGTGGATTTATGGACTAGGTTGGTCTTCAGTCAAATGAAACTCTTGACCACTTCTAATACACCTACACTAAAAAGTTTTGCATTTGGGATTGGGAGGGGTGGTGAAGAAATTACAAAAGCAGTAACTATAACTTGCTTGTACTAAAACAGCCTATTCTCTACTTAAATGTTAACATCTAAACACTAAATAAATTTTCAATTTGATGGTTTTCATTTCAAATACCACTGGTGTCTCGCATATTTAGTCCTTGATTTATAATGTGACCCTTCTCTCTTGCAATTAACTTAATTTAGCAAACTCTTCATGACCTGTTAAGAAAGATTAAATCATCAAACTCAGGTAATATCACACCAGCAACAAGCTGCAGGACCTGTTAACCTGCTTTTGACCCCCGGGCTACAATCTAGCACTGAGATCCCCAATCAGCACTGAGTTTTTAAAAAAATAGTTTTGGCACACTAAATGATAAGCTATTGCAAATTAAATAGTTAGAAGAAAGAAATTTTGTTACTGTGGCAACACTTTACAGTTAAGAGATGTACTGAAAACACCATATTTTCATATTCATATATTCATGTCATCCAGGTGATTAACTGATGGTGCTATGTTTTGATTCTAGTAGTATGCATAACCCACTCTTCAGGTTGTAGAGTTTCCACAGTGACCTGCAATAGTCAGAGGAAAATCCAAGATTTCTTAACACACTCCAAAGTGAGAGAAGCAATTTTTGCTTAGATCTGACTGAATATAATATCCTCTTTTTGTTCACAGTAAACAGATACTTGGGGATTCCAAATCCTTTCACAAATACAAGTTAAAAAACAGAACTCAAAACCTCAACTGAAAAATTGTTTCAAATTCAAAACATCGAGAAATTTCAATAAAAAGCAGAGAAGCCTAAACATACGGTGTTCAAAAAGCACATTTGGCAAGACACACAGAAAGCATGCAGAGGAAAGTTTCAAAATAAGAGAACTTTTACTTATTCTCTTCATGAACAGTGAAAGCAAAACTGACATAAGATGTCAGTTTAAAAAAACGCTACTTGATAATTTCAAGAGCAGCTGCCTTCACGATACTGACATATAGTTTAAGCTGAACAAATAAAACCAAAGTCTGCGTCATAACAAACAGAAGTACACTTGGAAATGTAATTACTTCATATTTGCCCTGACAAACAATTATTTTGTCTATTCTGCCATTATACAGCAATTTGACTGATTGAGCTGGAATCCATTTCTTAAAATCATGATTTAATTTTCTGTCTCCCAAATGGTTAGTAACAAAATCACCCCTCTCCAGCCATAAATAACACATAGATTGCTAACACAGAAGAATTTAGCAATGTACCCAAAAAGCATGTATCTGGAAAATTACTATGAGTAGGATCACATTAAAGATTCTTGTGAGCATTAATCAAACCTGTCTGCCTCTGCTGAAATGCTTCTGCCAGGGGACATGCTAAACCAATTACCTAATTGAACAGCACCAGGTAGCCACATTTTGTTTCGATCTTAAAGTAACTGTGACTCATGTCCTCAGTCAGAACAGATAGAAATCCTTTGCAGGGTCTGCATAGACAGAATAGTCCAGTTTCCCAGTGGTAAGGCAAAACTAAGGTAATAATAATAATAACTCTTAGAATAACAAGTACTTCACTAATTTCTGAAATACAAATAAAAATTAAATTTTATTTGTTTTTTTTCCCCACCCAGTCAACTAAATTTAAGAGGCCTGAGAATAATGACTCTTTTTCAGAGGATGTGCTGGCAGTCAAGAATTCCAGCTCCATACAGCAGCTCTAGCTACAAAACCTTTCTGTCTTCCTGCAGAAGTTTACATTTCTCCTAGATTAGACACAGATGAGAAGTACTAATCAGCATGGATGGTTACACATTTAAGATCAAAATAAATATATTAACCAGATGTCACATATCGGTGCTTTTCAGAAAATTATTTAACTGTATCATCATGTTTTCCTGTAAAGACACTGCTACATGGTCTAACCAAGAGTGGTGAAATAAGGTTTCCTTTTTATACTCAAACACTGATTTCTTTAAATGACAATAAACTAAAAAGTTCTGATTTTATGCAGGAATGCACAGGAAAAGCAAAATTAAGTTCCAAAAGCAAACTGCCTGAATGACAGAATAAATTGCAAGAAGGGAACCAGTAGAAATATTTCAAGTAAACTGCATATAAAATAAAATAATGATAATAAAAAACTCCAGCAACTATAGCCAGTATTTTGAAAAAATAAAGGCAGCTTCCCAGAATTACTGAGAAAACTGCTGGTAATTCAAGTTCGAATTCAAACTGGAAATGGGGAAAGATCTCACTGCAAGACAACTGCTCAAAAGTAACTTCTTGAATTAATAATCTCATAATTTAAAGGCACAAATTCATATATCAGGATTCTCAATGCATCTTATTCTCTAGAACACGACCACCAGAAATATTTCATTTAGCAGTATGAGAAGGTCCAACCAATAAAACAAGCCAATGCCAAACCCAACAAGCTCTTAAGGCTCTTACTTTACAGGTGGATAATGCATGAAAAGTTGGGAGGATTTATAGAGATAATATAACTAGCTTAAAACCTGGCTTAAAACCCCTCCATTAAGGGAGGAATACTATAAGGGCTTCCCCTGGCACAAGCGACCAAGGTTTTATCCTCAGGTCCAAATGATGACATTTTCCAACTGCTCAGCTCACCAAGGGAGCAACAAATCAACACTGACTCACAGGGGAAACCAACACCTACTACATCACCAAACACCATTTGCTGTAGCCACTGGATGTTACAAGTCTCTAAACACAGAGTGGAGCAGCCAAATGCTCCCGCAGCCCTGTAACAAGGTCGGGAGGGATGGGCTGGGGCGACCCTGTGCAGCCGAGTCATTAGAGCTTCTCCCGGGACTTCTGTGAGGAGGAAGGGGAGTTCACCCCACTTACTTGCCAGATCCCAGCTTGAGCACTTATATTTTCTCAATAGCTAAGTTTCCCCTGTCATTCCAATCACACACTTCACTTTATGTCCCAAAGAGCTAACAAGAGCAGCTGAAGTATGCAACATATCACAAATGTATGAAGTCACAAAGAAGTTATGACATGTTTACATACCTATAGATAGATAGAAAGATAGAAAGATAGATAGAAAGACAGAAAGATAGATAGATAGATAGATATAGATATGTTAGTTGTGTTAATGTGGACTATGCCGGTAAGCATAAAACAAAAATGCTAAATGTAGGATCCAAAAGGACTCCACAAAAAACAGTAACAAAAAAAAGTTTTTTCAAACAACCCCCCCAAAAAAACAACAACCCCACACACACCTAGAAACTCCCCAGCACCACCACTACTCCCAATAAAATTCATGTTTAATATTAGAGACACTGTGTGATGTTAACAGAAAGCTATGTGGAGAGAAAGAAAAAAACCAAAACAATAACCCAGGCAAAACAACAACCAAAACCCAGGCATGCGTATCTTGCTGTGAGTCAATTACATACAAACTGTCATAATTAAACATTCATTATATTTAGAACAAGAAGATGCCTATTTCTAGGTCTTCTAGGTCATTCCACAGCCAACACTGGTTTTACATTTCCATCCTGACACACTTGAAAGTACTAACAGGTGCTTTGAACTTCAGTCACAATATTTACTTAGAACATGTGCAAATCCACTCTAATCTAAGTAGTTTATTCTATTAAGATGTAAAGCACTGGATAGTAGTTTTCACTAAAAATCCACACATCTTTTAAAACCTGTTTTGTTCTATCAGTGGTGAGTCCACAGTGAATTCCATTCTTCAAGGGTTTTTTTGTGGGTGTTTGATTCTTTTGGTTGGGGTTTTTTTGTGTTTTTTCCTTTTTCTTTTTTAAATTCTGCAATACTTGAGTTTTCCATCAGCATTATGCTTACAGGCATGTAGGACATATTTCAGTAAAAGAAGCCCTGGTTATTTATGGGACATCAGACAAAGCAGTTAATTCATATACACCTTGCCAGCATGAGCAAGTAAATGGTTTATTAAAGCAGAGTCATTTAAAGAGCAAAAGAGAGAAATAAACTTTAGGCACACAGGTATAAAATCCTTCATTATATACTCAGGGTTACAATATTCTTCACTGTAAAGTACAGTCAGAGGCTACAAGGCCAATTAGGAGAAATGGAAAATACCTCTAAGTTGGAATACATTGAAAACGTGCTGGCCCCAAGAAGCTGCACTGCTGGCAAGGAACTGACATACAGTGTGTACTAAGAAAACTCCATTGGCCATAAAAGGAAAATTTAATTTAATTCCATAATAGATGGAGCTGGTAAAAAGGCCATTTGGTAGTATTAACCACGAAATAGTAGCAACAAGAGAAAAATTAAATATGGGGTTCCAATACTGAAATATTGTAGGAAGAAAGGAATGTTACATGCATATAAAGTCTTTGCTTTTAATATCAACATTTTTGCTCAAAAAAAAGTTCTGGGGAGAACTGGACAGTATGATGATGATGTTCAGGATTACTTACATATAAACTTCAATTGGTAGATTATTAAGAATACTTGTAAGGGAGTCAAATAGACAAACTATATTTGGGATGCATAGACCTATGTCCTAACACGTGTTTATATTCAGAGTTATAGAAAAGAATAAAGATTTAAAATACAATAGCAAATACAAAATTTTAAGCATAATTTTTCAAAGAGTTGAAAAGACTCCTAAAGACTTCAGCAAGCTTTGACTGTGGCCTACAAAGTCTACATTTTCACAATTCAACAGGCATTTTTCTACAAAACTATGCAAAACCAACTTCAGTCACAATTTCTAAAGTAATCATTAGAAACATCATTAAATATGATTTTGAAATGTCAGAGCAAACCCAAGGAAAATCAAATTCTAGAATTTCCATTTCTTTTTTAGTAAAATAGAAGTGGGTAACAAAGTCACTCTAAGAATTAAGGCACACCAAGTTTTATTAAAATAGCTGTAGAACCAAGTCTTGGAGGCCAACATTACACTAGTCTACATTCAGTTAATGTCAGTAGAAAAAAATCTGTTTAAAACTATTAAGTAAATAATACTAATTAATAAATGGAAAATACCAACCTTATATTAATTATGGCTTCTAGGAAACCAAACAAGTAGAATGCAAAAAAATCCAAGCAAATGATGCTGGTTTACATGTCATATCTAACCTCTTGAACAGCAGCTGAAAAAAGGGCAGAAAAGAACTATACAGCATGTTAAGAGTATCATAAAGCAATGATGTACTAACCTGGTATGCTCTGTTTATTTGGTTTGCTGCCCAGCTGGCATATTTCATATTATCCTTTTTCATTTTTGCACTTGCTTTTGGATTGGAAGCAATATGACTGGCAGACTACGAATACAATAAAATAAGAACAAAAACCGGTGTAACTACAAAATTTACGTACATTGAATATACTGAGAACATTCAGCATCTTTGCAGACCTAGTCCCAGACACAGTGACAGTGGACAAAGACAAACGATTTTAAAAGTTGCTGCAAACAGCATCCAGATAAGAAGCAGCTAAACTTCTTAAACAATTGTTTGTTCTAATTAAAGCTACACTAGACTGCAGTTCAGTTATGTATTGAGTTAAGAACCAAACATGGACATGATCAGCTAATCTAATTTGCTTTTCCTAAAGTCAGACTTATGGATTAGTTTTCCCCATTCAATGTGTTACCAGTGACAGTACAAAATATGTCATTTGTGTGTCCAAACTGCCACTAAAAACATGAGATTCTTTCCTGTGGCATCAGAAAACACATTTTAAAAGCAGGTAAGACTCTACATAAACTATGGCCACCCTCACCTGAAAAAATAAAAAATATTACTTAAGAACTAAACTCATCTCAGAGACTTTTTCACTTATATAAATAAATCCACTATGCAAGGAACCAGTGCTACTGTGCTGGTACTCTTCAGCGGTTCATCATCTTGCAGAGAGGAATATGACTTTAAATCCTTTTCCAAGAACGTACTTTTGTGTGCCAATAATTACAATTCTTTGGAAAACACAGGCAACACTTAAGGGTAAGAGCACTTCAAGTAAGGAGTACTTACTGGCACAAAATTGTCCATAGCCAGTATTAAAACAGTGTTAATAATATGAGCTATTACGTTAAACCAACAGGGGGAAAAAACCAAACCAGCAAATGGTAAAGGATAATACACCTGCATAGACATATTCAAAAAGATAACACGGAAAATATATACTCATGCTTACCATGTAAAGTCCAAACAGAGCTCTCATATTTCTGTTGTTAAGCTTCAGTGCTTGTGCAAAATACTTTCTTGATAGCTCAAGGTTTTCAAGACCCCCTTGAGTGTATTTAACCTGTAAAATGATAAGCTCTTGAAACTTGCATGTCTTTCATACCTCAGGCATTTGCTCTGAAGCAAAGATATGAAAATTCACTTCAGGTTTGTTTCACGTGGTTATTTTAAATCAGAGAGTCCTACCAAAGGCCAAATACTGGCTTGGGAGAAATCCAAGATTTTCTCATTATATGAATTTTAAATTACTTCACTATAGGAAAAAAAAAAAGCTAGCATTAATTTAATTAACTTATTGCTACAAGAATCAAAAGTGATTATTTTGCACCTATAAAGACTTAAAACCTTGGGATAGTCTCTTATGAAAAGTAGTACAAACTCTAAAGCTAAATTCTGACTACCAGAAATCCACACTGACCCCGTGTTCCCTGAGCATGCAGGACACCAGTACACAAACCACCACAATGCCTTTCATTATGTATTCAACTGCAAAATAGCACACAAAGTTTAGAGGATTACTCCACTGATTTTCTATTCATTTTGCCAGTTATTAGATCAACAAAAAGAGGGATAAATACTAGAAGACACGTTCAGTCTTTCTACCCAAAAGCTACTTAGATTTTCAAGTTTTAATGTTAACCCAATTTTATCCACATTAACAAATTAAACCCAACCTAAGGACTTAACAGTACAATTTAGAAAAAAATATATACATACTCTGGAAAAGAAAAACAAGACTGCAAATGGCTAAAACCTTGAGCTAAAACTTTTAAGTTTACCTCTAGTTTTCACCTCTCTTCCGCCAGTGCTCCTTCAGGCAAAATTTCGCATGTGGATTCCAAGATCTGACTCCACAGTAACAGGCAATATATCATAACATTCTAAGAAGCATTGTTGTGGAACTTTAACTTCTCATGCACTTAATTTGAAAAGTGCATAAACACTTCAACAAGAAAAGTTCATTTAAAATGAGTTTTTATCTACGATAATTCCTGCCCTAACTCTTAGCTTAGTCACAGTGAGTAAGAAAACATAGTTTTCTTAACATGTTCAGTTCTATGAGATGTCAACATTCCCTGTATACTCTTTTAAATCTCCTAGGGAAAAACTAAAGAAACCATTTTCACCACTTCTGTAACACAAAAACAGAAAATGTAGTCAAACATAATTGATTTCTCTGAAAATACCTACTTCAGCATATTGCTGACAATATAAGTGGTTGTGTGGATTAGTCATCATAAGCTCCTCTAAGCAGAAGGCTGCCTTTGCATAGCTGAGGAATATAAAAAACAGTGACAAAATGAAACAAGAATATGCAGGCTCTTTGCTTCAGTTTTTTTTACAGCACAATAAAAGTCTTACTTTCCCCCCTATAAAATCGTGATTCACAATTAATAAAAATGTTTCATTTTTAAATTATGTTTGGAACCAAATTACTCCATTTACATTATAGACAGGGAAAAAATACACAAAATGTAATAGTCTGAGTATATATGGAACAGCTCACGGAAAGAATTTAACATCCTAATCTCTCATTAATAAGTGCCATTTCTTATCAACAAGAGTGATGAGTAGAAACAGGAATCAGATACTATAAGGCAGTGAACTGAGACTACAAATTAATTCATTTTTTCCCTACAAGAAAATTCTGAGGATCCACAAACCAAGTTACAGACCAGAGCATTTACACTGACAGTTAACTTTATCAACCACAGAAGTGAGATCAAAAAAAACATACTAAGAGCAGTTCAAATCTATGTACGCAAACAGCATCGGACCAAATGGGCAAAAACTTATCATTTGAAAAGACTAGCCCTTGGGTTTTTTGGTGAAAGCTTTCAGAAAGAATTTTTTCAGAAAGAATTAAAAAGCCAAGCTCAAAATGTAGGTTTATTTAGAAAAATCTTAGCTTCATAATCTTTCAACTAATAGAAGTTTCTGCAGAATTTGCATTGTCTACAGATATGTGATAGCATTATTCCACAGTTTACATGATAGGATTCTAAAATTCAGAGATGCAATGTTTATAATGGTGATGTGGGTAGATATTTAATACAGCAGCAAAAGTAATTTAGATATTACGAGCCTGTATTAAACCATGTAATCTGTAAAATCTTGTATCTTAAAATAAATATACTGAGGTTTTCTCCCGTGCATGATATGATACTCGTGTACCTATTTTAATTTGGAGATAAAAGGACAGCCACCAAAAGCAGAAGTCACAGTTCTCATTGCAGAACAGTGCAGAACTGAGGACTGTATAAATCTTGTATATCTATGTGTGCTTATGAACAACAATAAGTGCATGGTGATTTCACAAGCCAGACTAAATTTGTGAGCCTGATAAAACAAATAAGCTGATGAATTGTCTTCTTTTTTAAAAATTAACAAACTGCTTTTTAGCCAAGAGTCCAATTTTTTCCCCATTTAATCATCAAAATAATGATAATGATGCTCATAGAAGTACAGCAAGCAAATTCTTTCAATGAACTGAAGAGAGTTTTATATATTATTTTTTATTGGAATTACAGACCAAGACTAATACAAGCAAAACCAACTTCTTTCTCAGGTTTTATTGCACAATTTTGTAATAAATATTATAGCAAAAAACCCCAAACCCAATAATGGAATACGTATGTTTGCACCACTCTATCATTCACTTTCGTACCGACAGATTTGACAAGCTTAAATACCTCTCTAGCCAATTTTTTTTTTAATAGCTATTTTCTTGGAAAAGTGGTTGGTAAATTTCCTCAAACAAATGGAAATCTGGATATCAAAATTCTAGATTATTCCTTAGGTCTAAGTCAGCATTTAAAAGAGTTTAGTAATTATTTTCTTTGAGAGTGGAGTGGAAGGAAAGGTGACAGGGGAACAATTTTTTCATCACAGTGAGAACAGCTATTTCTTCCTTGACAATTTGATTCTTTTACTACCCTCTGGAAAGGAAGGAAGGAAACAATGTGATATAATTCAGGCTGGGCTGAAGAACTAAAGAAAGAGAGGAAAAAAAAGATACGCCTTTGGGTGGAGGTTAGAATTAATGCTGTGATATTAGAAAACTTGCACTAAGGCTTTGAGCTAATCCTCTCACACTGGGATTTCCTCCTGTCACTACAGCAATAAAAAAAGCTAACAAAAACATTAAATATCCAATAAGCAAGTTACTACAACATTCAGCATTCTTGACTGCATTGGGTTTTGTACCCAGGCGACCAGATGCCTCTGACTCTGGATCCATGTTTTCCTTTGTCTTTTTTTTTTAAAGGTTACTAAAAGTTCTTGGAGAGGTAGGCTAAAAGAAAATCAGAATTTCAGATGCTGTGATCTACTGATTTTGGAAGTAAAGAATTTAACATATCTAAAAAGTAAAATACATCACTTGAACGAAAAATAACAGGAAATAAGTGCTGTTCCCTGCTACACTCAAACCACTTCTTTTAAAGTATCAGATTTTTAAAAATCACTGAAACATACAGGTAATTAAGTAAACTGTGTCCGTTTTAAAATCAAATGCCTTCTTAAAGCTTTCGGTAGTCAAATAAGGTTGGTAATTATTTCCTGTTGATGCCTGTTATATTGGAAATGAGATAACATACTTTGTAACAGTAGTCCTTCAAAAAAAACCACTGAGGTTTTTGACTTACATAGAGTGGATTTCAAATTAACAGTTTTTATGTGGACTTAGCAAACAACTTACTCATGTTCATTGATGTAAAGCTCTGCAAGTTCATGCCAAGCTTCTTGGTCTCCAACAAATCTGTATAAAGACAAGAGAGGAAAAAAGGAAAAAGGGAAAGAATGTGCAAGGGATTCTGTAAATGATCAGCATGGAAGCAAAAGCGTAAATTAAATGCAAATTCCATTTTAATTAAAAAGATTTATCAGAATAGCAAAACACAATCCGTATTTTCTTGTAAGACACTCACTGTTCCAGATACTCATTCAGCTCTCGGATGGCCTCGAGATTCTTCCCCTGGGCTTTTCGAATGGCAATCTTACGCTTTCTTGCTGCCTATGGGTTGACATTAATAAAGGATTAGGCCTCATAATTCCCTGGGTTTTTGTAAGGAAAGCAATTTGACTGTGCAAATTATTATCTCAATACCATTGGAATTCCATTGCAGAGAAACTGCTAGGTTGAAGTTTATAAACATACCCTATGACATCCCACTGAGAGATTGAAAACCTCTCCTTACAATCACATTATGTAGGCTTTTCTTTGGAGGCACAAACTGTATGCATTATTTCATTCAAATAAATGACTGTCCAGATTCTGATAATTACAAAACAGCAGGGGATGCTAATCTTCAGCCATTCCAAAGACCCCCACCTTTTCATTCACAAGATCCATGCCTATAGAGGAGAAATGGCCACTGAGTCTTAGAGAATCCCACAGATGCATCTGGGTTTCCATAGCATAAGTATGGCTCCCAGCCATTTAAAAATATTCTTGTTGGAGTGCTGAATGCCATCTTTAATTAATGTTAAATACACACCAATTTCCTAAACAAGTCTCTCATCGTTCTTGGAGCAGAAAGCAGACTCTGCAATGTAAAGGGAATACAAAATAGCCATTTCAATGGCAAAACCTGAGCAGTGCTTTGATATGTGGGTGGAACATGTTTTTATATTTTTTAAATTGAAATATAAGTTATAAGAATTACAATATATTTAAGTTTTGAAGTCCATAAATGTTGTTACAGACCACCAAGAGAAAAGATATACAGAATTCTAATGGTTGATTATTCTGTACTCCAATCCAATATTCCAGCTTCTGAAGGATGTTGGTTACAGTTTTCAGGCCTCTAGGATGTGAATCTTACAGATTATTCTGAGTTGGAGGGGACCCACAAGGATCATCAAGTCCAGCTCTGAAGTGAATGGCCCATAAAGGGATCAACTCCACAATCTTGGTGTTATTAGCACCATGCTCTAACCAACTGAGAATCAAGATGCACTTAAGGTGTGATTCAAAACAAGAGAAATCTTCCCAGTTCGGAGCAAAGAGCACCACACCTTGGCCAGCCTGAAAGTCATCAGATCGGGAATCTGACAGAATGAAAGTAAAATCAAATTCTGGCATAACATGCCTCAAACAAACACCATCAAGCCTCCTGCCTCAGCAATAACCCCCGTTCTCCTGGGTGATCGCAACCACTGCAGTCAGACGTGAGATGCCATTTCTCCATGAGATAACATTAATGACAAAAAAATATAAAGCACACTTTTCTGGTAACTAAGGCCCACTGCTTATTCCCTTCATAGCTCTCATCCTATTTCATATGCTAATAAAGAGTTTATACAGTTGGGTATCACCTTACAGAAGCCTTGACAGCACAGGAATGGACAACTCTTTCGCAAAATCCTATATTATTTTAATATTTGAATTTCAGATAGCTCTGAAATCAATTTCTTCATGATGTACCTTAAGTTCACAGCCACATATACCCTGAAAGAGTTCTTTTATTTTTACAGTATTTTAAACATAACTCGGTCCTAAATAATTTCTTATCCTCTGATCATCAGTTGAACAAGTCAACTGCTTCCAAAAGAGGAGAGTGGCAAACTAGTTCAGGCACCAAAAGAGCCCAGATAGAAATGCTTTTAACACTGATTCTAGGTTTATTCTTTCCTTTGAGTTCACCCCCTTTACTTCCCCCATGAACACCTATTCGATAAAAATTCGGTGAAAACAACTCAACATCACTCTTCTGCTTAAACGTAAGGCACACACAGGGAGAAGACTCATCAGAACAACCAGGGGACAAATCAGGACACAGGCAGTGTAGTGGGTTTATCCATGGTCATTTTTTTTCCCTCACTGCTTCTTTGTCAAACTGCAACCTGTGAAGTTACATACACCATTCTACTTTTACTGGCAGACACTTGGCTAAAAGCCATAAATGGAAATTTTAACTGCTGACACATCAACAGCAGTTAAACGTAACAACACACACGGTTTTTTTCTTTTTCTTTATTTAAATAAAGATAACAACATAATTAAACTTATTTTGATCTCAGAGGTCTTTTCCAACCTGGTTGATTCTATGATTCTATGATTTTCTTTAAATACAAAAAGAATAATCCCAAATACTTATCATATTGCTATTACTAAACAAAACCACGAAGTAACAACAACAACAAAAAACCCCGATCAAAACCATTGTTCTCCATCACATTTTGTGAAGAGTTCTCACAGCATTTTGTAAAGCAGGTCACCCCCTTGCTACAGGGGGAACACCAGGGCAGTGTTAACTCACTCCCCAAAGCTGGTATTATCCACAGCTCAGTGACCTGCTCACTGAGCCCAAAACAGGGGAGAAGGAAAAGTGGGGATAACAGCCTGCACAGCCAGAGGAGTGTATCATGCAGCTACAGCCTGTGGAGATAGAGGGTTTTTTGCAGGTAACAGGCTATCGACTTTAAAATACAGCTCTTGGATTAACAATTCGCTTGTTATTTTCAAAATTTAAAGAAAAAGAAATCAAGAGTGACCACAAGTAAACTCTTGAGAGCTAAAATAATTTATTAAATATATAAAATCAATCAACTCATATGACAACATAATTTGCAACGGCAAACAGGACCAGTCTACGTAAGTCACCCTCCTCTTTGTTACTGAGGCAACTCCCTCAATCACATCCAAGTCAGTCCTCCAAAAGAGCCTGGAAACAGATTTTTCTCCATGGTTGCTTTATTTCTTATGCACAGCACTCCCAAGTAACATAAATCACTGGAGCCTCAAGACGTTAATTTATGAAAAGCTACAACTATTTCTAGTCACAAATATAAATTGATGTTTACCTATAGCAAGCATGTCATCTAATGCAATCAAATAATCAGGACAGAAGCATTAGACATAATTAACATGTTCTGGTGGTAGCACTTAGGAGTTAAACGAATTACATATACATTTGACAGAATTTCCCCACTGCACCAAATCCCAGAAAAATTTCTTCCAAATTACACTTTTGTTTCTTATTTGAGGAAAAATAGTATTTAAACTTCCTTTTTTATCCACCTTCCTTATCACCAAAAACAAAGCAGCATCTGGGCTTTAAATCTGCGCTCTCGTCACCCTAAAAATGCTGGGATACTTTTATTTACAGAGAACTCTGAGTTTGCAAAAGAGAGGCTCAGCCACTTACAACAGTGCTGATAAACAGAGGAGCAAAAAATGTTGTATAGCAGCATAGAATTGTTTAAAGTCTCTTTAAACACTCTGGAAACAAGTCAGTGAGGATGTAGAGGTTATTTTAAAGCAATTTGTAACATTTTTCCATCACATAAATAAAACCATAAAGCCAAGATACATACAATAAATCTGAAGTATTCAGATCTCTGATTCACAGGAGTGATATGACAGGTGAAAAAACAAACACATGAAAACAAACTACTATTGCTTTCATTTGTATTCACAGACTATTCTCCCATCTGACTTCCTAGTTTTTCTTTGAATCACAAAGTCTAGCAGGTTTTCTTAAAATAAAACTCCAAATTCAATGACTCCAGTAGTCAATACTTCAAGAAAAATATATACAACAAGGCCTGCGCTACAAGCAAAACATGCACTGTTTTGTGTGCTGCAGACTTCTAATTCTTGTTCTGATTTATATTGCCCCTGAGCTCCCTGTGTGCATCAGCTTAAGTGCTGCTCTGTGAGTTGGGGCTCACACACGGTGTGCTTGCAGAGCATCCTGAGGACAGCAGCATAACCAATGAGGATTTACACACACAGCATCAATTTTTATTTCCATACAAATTAAAAAAAAAGGCTTTACTGAGCAAAACCACTGCCAACACTAATAACCACTTTACCAGACAAAACCAGTTATTTGATAAAAAAAGCCAGACTCCTACGAATTCTACAGAAGCTTTACCTAACATTTATTTAATGTATCCAATTTATTATCTGCCTTACAGCCAGCTGATATAAGAAAACCAGGCAATTTCATGTTTTATTATGTTTAAGGCCCTTTTTACCAAAACCCTCACATTACAAAATACAAATTCACTTTTAGGGTACCTGTTGCAAGATACTAAAAAACTACAAAATGCAGAGTTCAAATCTGTTCAATCATTAATTTTAAGTCCACCAAGAATATCAAGGAGAAATTTATTTTTAATTATAGGAATGTGAGATTATTTTGAAATCTAAGAAGCCTACTAAAATAGTCACAACAATTGCACTGATAAAGATAAAAAAATAACATTCCAGGGGTTCATTTCAGTTCTTCACGATAGTAAGATTTTTAAGAACAAGCCTCATACAAAAATTAACTCAATCTCCCTTCTCCTTCTACTTTAAGTGAAAAGGAAAAGGCAAAACTTTCTGTGCTATAACAAGATCTGCAGTTTTTGACCATGCATGCAGATCCTATGATATGAATTTCCCCCTAACAATTTTCCAGAGTTTAAAAAAGCCACTAGAATGGTTATTGGTTGATTCTGTAAATGCAGAATTCTTAATTGAAAGATATATGCATCTTAAAGAAATAGTTACACTGTAATCAGTATCATATGGACTAATGAACTTCAGTATGTACATATTTATTAAACAGTGAACCTTTCTAAGCTATTTCTTTTAAAGACTAATAATCCTCAATATGGCACAAGAACTAATCCTATATTTGTCATGATTCCTTTTAATTATCATTAAGTAGACTCAGAATGAAGTGAGGACTTGAACATTTATCAACTTCTGCATTTTATCAGTAAAACATACCAATGGAAAGTCTAAGAGTGTTCTAAATTTCATGGCTGCAAAGAAAGTACCAGTAGGAGAACCTTCAGGGACTGACAGGTGTAAGAAAGAAACAATTTCCTATCTGTGTAACTATTAGAGCATTAAACAAATCATTTTTCATCTTAAAAAGAAATTTTTCATTTTTTTAACATTTTAAAAAATGTGTATTTGATCCAAGAGTTTGATACATTGAAATATTTTCCTTCAAACTGCAATATGCAAATCAAAACAGAAGTGTCAACAACTACAACAAAGATATCAAAAAA